GAATATATAGGGGCAAAGTAGCGACTTCTCGCCTACCCAAAGGGCCAATTAGTTCTGGCCATGGTAACGTCACTTTTTCCTTGGGAAATGTACTGCTAGGACCACCCCGAGGCTCCCTTTATCAGATCGCACAAATGCTGCAATCCAACAAAATTCGAGAGGTATCGAGACCTCGAGGACTTCTTGCTATTACAAGCACTGGCCCCAAAGAAGCTATCGACCTAACTTCAATATAGGACCTGATTTTGAGGGTCCCGATTACTCCAAGTATGGGATCCAAAGAGTTAATATTAAAATTCGAAGAATAACTCTGCAAGAGCGACGAGATACAAAGAATGGTAACACTAGTCTTAGAAAAACTCTATTCCATTGCCAAAAATATATTTACAAGGGGCGTCTTTACAAGACACATTCCCCCGGGAGTACGTACACATAAAGAAAAAAGAAAAAAGCAAAGCGACACAAGGCCTACACTTCACTGTCAGTATCCTCTTAACCATCTCCAGAATCCACATCTAAAGTGACCAAGAGCACCAATTTTCTCTCCAACTCTCGGGCCTCCTCAATCTCGGCTGAAAGATCGACACCTTTGGCTCTGACCCCCTCCAAGACTTCCCTCTTTGCATTCGTGCTAGAATGAGCGATAGCCCGAGCTAGTTTTAGCTCGGCCTCTATCGATATATTACGGGCTATTTGATTCGTAGTGGCTGCGTTCTTCAGATAAGTAACAACCTTTTCTTCGATCTCGGACTTGGCCGTAGTCAGCGCAGTAATCTCCTTTCAAGCATTTTGGAGAAGACCATGGGTCGTTGCCAACACCGAGGTCGCTACCTCATTTCACTGCCTCAGCCCGACCACATTCTTTTGCCTGATCTGCTAATCCTTTTGCCTGATATGTGAAGGGAAAGATAAGCCAGTTAATATAAAATTATGGGAACGAAGGGTGGATTCACGCGTAACCAAATACCTGCTCGGCAAGATCGGCTTTTTCTCGGAGTGCTCCCTCCAAAGCAGCCCAGAGCTCGCTTGAATCCTTTGCCTTTCGGGCAGAGTAGGCCTCTGACTCTCGCAGTCCCGAGGTAAGCTTCTCAAGCTCCTTCTCACGGTTGAAATCTCCTCCTGGAGCTTAGAAAGGTCATGGTCATACATCTCCTTACACTACATCAAAACAGAAGAGTCAAAAAAATTAAGAATAATGCTTGGGACTAAAGAAATATACATAAAACAACTATCACCTGCCGCTGGAACCTCTCCACCGCCTCGACGGCGCCGGGAGCATCGAGATCGATGTCCTTGCTGATATCGTCAACATTGTTGCCAAGCATAACTCCTCCCTTGAGAGGACACTCCACTTTGGCGGTATTCATATCCTGAGCGTCCCTTTAGCTCCTTTGACGAGAACTAAGGGCCCAAACTGAAATCACCCACGTCATCGATGTCCCCGATGGGCAACTCTTGCCCCCAAAAAGCTCCGGGTCTATACCCTTCAGGACCAGCAGCAACGGTCCCCCCAACAGAAACTGCGCCATATCCGACTACAGGATCCGGAACCATATTAACACCCTCCTCGAGGGTCTTTGCCGCACAGGACCGACCTGAGTTGGCCATTCCCGATACAGCGGCTTTTGGTCAAGGCGCCTACGAGGCTCCCGTGCCCGACCTTATTCTCCGTACTAATCGACATTTGCCATCTTCATCATCCTCATCCTCATCCTCTGCACCAAGGCTTGCTCCGAAAGTTGAAGCCAAGGTCCTAGTGGCAGCTCGAGGCTCGCGTGACTTAGGTTCCTCTACCACAGGAGCATTGGCAGCCACCTTACCCTTTCTTTTCTTGCCCTTAGCGGGCTCCGAAGTCTCCATCTTGCCACTAGGAGGCGGCCTCATCCACATACTCTCACCAAGGCCTGCATGAGCGCAGTGACCATAACTTATCAGCACAAAGGATACAGGGAGAAACATAAGGCTAAGACATAGGTGGCAAGGAAAACTTTACCATGATTCTTGGCCACCCACCGCATCTTAGCCAGGTTGGGCCAAGACTGGACGAGATATGGAAACGAGGTATCCAATCGCTTGATCCATCTCGGTATGTCCGGAACCACTTCGGGATACCAAGCGGTAACTACAGAAACCAAAAGGAGATCACTTTTTCAGAAGGAAGGAAAGAAAATCACAAAACATGTCCGAGGGAAAAAATACTTACGTTGGGTGTTCCACTTCTCCGGGAATGGCACCCTCCCAGCTAGAATGATGTCTGAGGACTTCACTCGGATGAACCTACTCATCCACCCTTGATCCTTGTCTTCGTCGGTGCTCGAGAAAAATGATTTTTTGGACAAATGGTGAAGCCTAATCAAATCTCAATAAAATCGAGGTATGTACAACCTAATCAAATGGTTGAGGGTAAAAGTCTCGCCCTCGACCTCATCGGAGAAATAGCGGAGCATCAAGACTATCGTCCATAAAGAAGGATAGATTTGACCAAGCGTCACTTGGTATTTGTCGCGAAAATTGAGGATGACCGGATCTATCTCCGGGGGAGGGGATTTAGGAGGATCGACTGGACCCAAAGTGAGCGGGTAAGTATATACATGAAGGAAACCAGCCTTGTAATCTGTTATGTTCTCGTCAGGGCGGGGAATCTCCATCTCTATTGCCTCCCCCATCGGCAGTCTTCCTTCACCTTCCCTATGTTGGTCACAACACTAATGTACTGGGACACGTGTTAACATCGCCCCGGTGTAGATGAGGTTTTGTCGACGAGAAAGTCCTTCGATGTGTCAAGCTCGGTGTGAGTACATTGTCCCACGGTGGGTATCACTTTGGGTTTTCCTTTAGATGTTCCAGATGAAAAGGCAGCCTCGTCTTTCAAAGGAACCGCCTTGGAGGTTCTAGCCATGATGATGGTGAAATTTCTCTAAGAAAGTAAGAAGAAAGGATGCAAATGGGGATGGGTCTGGTTTTGCAAATTTGAAGATGTTGAGAAAGTAAGAATTATCAAACGATTGGTGCATTTATAGGAGTCATGTGGGTAGTGGAAGGGACGAACTAGTAGCAGTTTGTGGGCTTCTCGATAGTCGCATTTGATGGCGACCCTTGCGCAATTTTTTGGGCATGGCATTTAATGCTCCAATATGCTAACGTCACGGCGATGATGCCCTCGGAATAGAAGCTCAAACTCGTTTCCTATCGCTTTGTTCTAGGAAACGCGGGGACTATACAGTAAAATCCGAGGATCCAATTTCTCATCATTAAGGCACTTCGGAAGATCATCTCGAAGGCTCGAGGCCACGACCGAGTATCCTCCATCGAGGGTCGTCGACACTCGACCTTGGGGCAGTAATGATCACGGTAATGGTAGAAATGGAGAGTTCCCAAGGCACACGGCTAGGACTGACAGAGCCTAGTGGACTACTCTAAACCCGAATCAGGGCGTCATCTAGCTATACCATCTCAATTTCTTTGTAGTTAATGCCTTTCTGTACTATATTGGGACTCCCCTCATATATAAAGGGGATCCTTGTCATTTTGTAAACACATGTTGCTTCAGTTGCTCCACACGAAATATACAAGAACATTCTCTCTGCTTTCTAACATATTCTCTTGATATTATTGCTTCTATTTATTATCTTCATTATTGTTCATCATTTATTGCTTATCATTGACCATAAAGAGCCTTCGTTGATTTTATTATAACTGTTAGTCATACTCCGATCACCTTCGATAACTCACAGTCGAGCTCCGGAATCGACCTCGAAACCCCCGAATCGACAAGCTCGAGGCCCCGACTGTTAACCTATCGGTTTGGTTATCACCTTACTCCTTACTCTTATCTCGTTTCTAAACCTCACACATAGCATCAACTGCTTAACAACTAGCATAAAAATAGATCACGTATTTTTAGAGCTCCATAATAAAATTTAATTGTTATTACCATTTTCACGGTAAACACCTGCACATCCATCCTCATTTCAATTACCTTCTGTACATGGGAGTTCTTGACTAGCCAACACTCTACTTCATACAACATAGTCGGTCTAACCACCACTCTATAAAACTTCCCTTTAAGTCTTGGTGGCATATTCTTATTACACAAGACACCGGTTGCGAACCTCTATTTCATCCATCCCACCCTAATACTTGTAAAATAATCAATAAAACGAAATTTATCTCAATATTTAAGCGAAGTATTGCCTAATATAGACACTGCTTGAGAAAATTAGTGCATACACCCCATGTAATATCCGTCATGTGATTGGAAGTAGTAAATACATGGTATTTTAATGGATAATGAATATCCCCAGTAATGAAGTTCTTTTACTTTTCACAGTAACTAAAAAAGTCCCATGCGTACTGTCAGTCATAACCAAAGACCTGACTTTCGTGTCCAACGCCAACATTCTTCATTTGAATATACTTTGGCTACTTGACTTGGTCTCTTTTGTTTTCGCATTTTCTAAACTACTTCTACTATCTTTGTCAGTCAAGCTAAAATTCTACCTATCCATATCAAAAACTCTCAAAATTTATGTGGTACATTTTTTAGTCGGTTTAAAAAAATGTCATTTTTGTATTTGAAAATAATTATCTTAAGAATTCCTATTTCTTTTTTTATAAATTAATGTACAATCACACAAATATTTATGATTTGTATTAAACCATAAATTTTGAAAAATCTTTCTTTCTCTCTTAAACTTGATGTCTAATTAAACACTGGCACATAAATGGATCGGAGGGAATATCTTAGCACTAAATAAATAAAGAACACCATATCTGACTAAGGAAGCTTAATATCTGCAAGTCAAAGGAATGCACCTTCTTATGTCATGTCACATTTCGTAAGAAGCCAAAAAAATTAAAATTTCCACCTTCTTCTGCATCTTATCACCATAATCTTCCAAAGTGACGGCGCGGGATGCCTTTTTTATTTTATTTCGTCTACAGTATATGCCCTCTACCTATAAATACAGCTCTCCTTTAATAATATTATCTGTACAAAAATGGGAGCTCTCACTAAACTCTACCTTCTTTTCCAGTATCTTATCACCATTTTCTTCTGTTCATGGCTCCCTCAAGTATTAAAATTCATTTTCTTAGTAACTTTTGTTTTATTGAATACATACAGACAAAGACAGCTCGCGAAAAACAGGTACAAGGATAATATAGATGAGAAGAGCTCCAAATTTGCATACAGAAGATCAATTAGAAAGTTAATTATGGGGTTATCAGATGGAAAAGAGACACTTGAATGTGCAATTTGCATATCAGAATTCAAGTATGGAGATAAGGGTAGAAAGCTGAAAAGTTGCAGTCATATGTTCCATGAAAACTGCTTGGAGAAATGGCTAATGCATGGGAAGGGGCAATCGACTTGTCCACTTTGTCGACATATTATAATATCGGAAAATATATTTGAGAAACAAATAAAAGTTGAAGATGAAGGACAAAGGAAAAATAGCTTTGAGGAAGAGTTAGCTATGCTTTTGCTATCTTGGTTGAATTGTAGTAGTTGTTGGCAACGGTGTTAAAAGTCCCAAAGTTTTACTCCCTCCGTTTTATATAAGATACGTTCCATTAATCTATTCCAAAATAAATGACACATTTCTAAATTTGAAAATAATTCAATTTTAAATTCTTTTATTTTATCCATTTATCCTTAATGAGAAGCTTTTATGGCCACACAAATGTCATGGCTCCACAACTTTTTACTCCTTAAGCTTTTAAGGCCACAAATTTCAAAAGTCTTCTTGTTTCTTCTTAAACTCTGTGCCGAGTCAAACTATCTCATTTAATATAAAACGGGGAATATTTATTTCATTAATCCCTCGGTTACACTTTATGTGGTAAGGTTCAGAATACGAGGCCAAGCACTTAACTTTGGTAAATTTAAACATAAATTTTTAAGTTTATGAAAATAAAATTTATATATTTGATTAAATAAAAAAAATCATGTCATATTATAATTTTTAGTTAAATATATTTATAAAATATTTGAGAAAAAGCCTCTTTAACTTCCCAAATTAATACTCCTTAGTATATTGCCACATAAACTGAAATATATTTTAGAGTAAATTTCTTCTTGAAAATAGTTCAAAGCCTAATTTGCTGAAGTTTTATAGTTTCACAGTATTAATTTTAGAAAAAACGCATAAAACATCCACAATTCTTTGAAAAATAACTACGTAGAACAAAAAGAATTTCTAGAAATTGAAAAGAATGAAGTTCTAAATTCAGTATTTTTTTCTTTAAGAAGAATAAAGACAACTTTGTGGTGAGTAGACAAGTACGACTGAATAAATCTCATACATGACGGATTTAGAGAAATATGAATTTACTAGTATATATCATAATAGGAATCAAATAAGACATAAAAGTCTACGAAAGTATAATCACACCCTGCATTTTTTACATATTAGTGTGTAAAGCCTAGACCAATTGACTTCATTTGAGAAACTGAACAAATTGACATTAATGCATGGACTTCGGATTCATGCGGTTCCTGATAATAGTAAGGTCAAAATAGCAGGAGCTAACCAGTTTTCGGACGGTTAATTGAAAAATAGCTAGCGTTTGTAATGTCATTGAAAAATAGCCATTATTTTGCTGCAAAACGGAAAGTTCCAGCATAATATACTAGGGATTAGTATATCTGTGTATGAACATCCAGCATATTATGCTGGAACTCTACCACACGAAAAGTTCCAGTATAATATACAGGAGATTGGAGCACATGTGTATGAACTTCCAGTATATTATGCTGGAATATTTTCCGAATTTTGAACACTATTTTCATTCATATTTATCTTTACTTAAAAGTGGCTAAATTTCAATTACTGTTGAAAACGTGGCTGACGACCCAAAATCCAACTAGTCGTGATGACACATGACTCAGCCTGCTAGGTAAGCCAATTAACAACTATCCAATTTAATGAGACAAATAAATGATAAAATATCTAAAACTTATATTTTTCCCAAGTACTGGTAGTACAAATCATGAACTTCTAAGGTTTAGAGTTTATAAGGCTAGTATAAATATATACATCATCTGTTTGAACTATATATAAATAGATTAAAAATTCTAAAGCTGCCAAGGACAAGAGGCAGCAATGACCGGAACACAGGTATATCTTCCAATCCATCTCCCGCCATACACAACAACATCAGCATCAAACATCTACACGCTAGGTGCGGAAGTGTAGTATGAGTACAACCGACCTCATGTACTCAATAAGTAACAAACTTAACCTTAGGTTGAAAGTAGTGACGAGCTAGGGCAAAGGTGTGAGTCAAACTACAATAACCAGTAACAGTTCATAACCATATAATAAAATGGTGCAAGAAATAACTTAGAGATATGGTGCTCAACTCGTTCACAGTTACGGGAAAATATGCATGCTTTTCAAGTATAACAGTAAATCCCAAATCTTTCACCGAAAATACTAAAAATATGAGTAAGTTTGAAAACTGTGATTTTTTCCAAAAACATTCAACAATAGTCAAGAAATCCCATTATCAGATTGCATGAGGAAAGTACATCTCTATGCCTATATGTCAATGAGAGTGTGAATGTTATGAATGCCACTATACTCTACACCATGATTAAATGCTTCTCTATGCATGTATGTCATGTATGCATGTCAACTATAATGCAATGCAATGATAAAGACAAGTGCAATCCTCTCGGAGTATTAATGCACTCAGTCCTCCCAATCACTCAGTCCTCACAGTCACTCAGTCCTCACAGCCACTCAGTCCTACCAATCACTCTGCACTCGCACTTAGTAGCTACCTGCGCTCACTGTGGATGTGCAGACTCCGGAGGGGCAATTTTAGCCCAAGCGCTATGATAAGCCAATCATGACATGAATCAATAATACCTACTGCGACGTACAGCTCGATCCCAACCTAAATCAATAATACATGTTGTGGCGTGCTGCCCGATCCCATTATGAATTAATAATACTTGATGCAACGTGCAACTCGATCCCATCAATATCCTCAGAATCAAGCCATCGGCCTCACTCAGTCATCAATCTCTCCAGTCCCTCGTGCTCACAATGTCATGAAAAAAATTAGCCCAAAATGATGATGTGATGCATCAATAAATGGTAACAAAGACTGAGATATGATATTCAAATGAATGCGTATGACTGAGTATGTAATTGCAATGTAAGCAAATAACTCAACAACATAAATTACCTCAGCGGGTCCCAACAGAATAAGCATATAACCTAGACATGGTTTCTAACATGGATCACAGCTTAATTACTCTAGCACATAGAGATTTTCATCGATAAAAATAAGATTAGGTAACTACACAGTACCACATAATATAATCGAGTCACTATTCACAGCGGTACACGCCCATACGCCTGTCACCTAGCATGTGCGCCACCTCAAAACCAAACACATATCACATATATTCAGGAGTTCATACCCTCAACACCAAGTTTAGAAGTGTCACTTACCTCGAACAAGCCAAATCCAGTACCGAGCAAGCCAAACGATACTCCAAAAATGCCATCCCGCGTGCATCAACCTCCGAACATCTCAAAACTAGCCAAAAACAACTCAAATACATCAAATAATGCCAAAAGAAACAAACCTAATCGATAAAGATCGAATCTTTACACATTTACTCAAAGTCAACAAAAAAGTCAAACCTGGGCTCGCACCTCGGAACCCCACGAAACTAAAAAATTCTGACAACCCATGCAATACGAGTCCAACCATACTAGCTTTACTCAAATCCGACTCCGAATCAATGTTCAAAACTCAAATATTCACTCTATGAAACTTTGGACACCCCCCCCCC